TATTAAGTTATTTCACAATCAGCGACAAGAAATAAACTGCATGCTCCGTATAGTATGTGATGACGAGAGCAAGCAGTCGGCGAAAGCATGAAAAAATGCGATTACCTGAATTCTTTTTTGACCTTCTCGTTTGAGCATTCTCTCTACAACGTTCAGGAAAAGATTACAACGAAATGAAGAGGCTTTAAAAGAAGCATAAAATATGTCGAATCTGCCCTAGTGATGATTTACTTGAAGGAGATGAATAAAAAGTTATTGTAGCCTCTATTTCGGTCGCAGTCTCCTTTCGATATACTGAAGTGGTCTGACCTTCTTTTCGCAACTTGGCCGTGTTGCCAGGTGGGCCTCATCTTGTCCAAAGTCCTCTGCTATAGTAGTTAGCATAATTACCAGCGTCTGACAGTTAATTTGGTACATTCCCAGACGTTTCGCCGGCATCGTCACTGAGTCTTGCCCTTCTCAGTTCCAAGCTACGACTCGTGAAAAAGAAAAAGATATTCAATTCATTGACCAGCCATCTGCTGAACTTGAATGTCTTCTTTTGTCTCTTTGACGAGTTGTAGATTGGTGCTGAAAATGTCAAGACCTACTGGCGATGCCGACTAAGATGCCGGCGAAGCGTCTGGCAATGTACCAGGTTCACGTTCTGACTCTGAGAATTATGATATCTACTATAGCAGACGTCTTCAGACAAGGTGTGTTTAAATAAGTCGCCCTGACAACATGATCCAATTGCGAAAATGAGGTCAGACCACTTCCTTACGAACAGGATGTTGATTTGGGCTTCCAAAAGGTAGCTTGATTGCTGTCATATTTTGGACAACTAAAAGTCGCTCTTGTAGATACTTTTTTATAGACTACTGTAGTCTGAATAATTCAGACACTTTTTGATCTTTGTCTTTAAATTGGAACTTTTAGGCTTAGTTGACTGGCATAGGCTCCAGTGAGCATAGCACTTGCGACTTTTCTGGTTTGCAGGCTCAATAAAAGCCCTGTATCACTTGTCATCGGAAAAAGGGCCTGACAATCGTTCTTCTATAGCAGCTCGTCTTCAAAGGTATATGCTCCTCCATACGTAACCTTCTAGGTGCATTAATTAGTCTCTTGATTTCCTGGCTGGTAGAACCAATAGTGCGGTCTTAATATGAAACCGTTCTTTTGGAAAACTTCTCCTAGCCTTACACCAATACTTGTTTTAGCTGTGATGTTCCTCACATCTTCTAGCCTGTCTCTGTCCAATTAATAATATATCTCATGATTTAGTCGAATAGTTCATGCTTGCCCATATCCATTGCACACATCATCCACAGGAGAGTTACTTTGCTGTAAGCATGTATTAAAAGCGGAATAGCTCAGATGTGAGATAAAACTGTTGTGATGACTTTCATTTCGTGTGAATTTGCCTGAAAAAGATATTCTTATATTGATTTCACCAGAAAATGACAAGTGATTTTCATTTCTCTCTAGTCGTTTATTGTTTCCAACACATCCATGTCGGCGAAGTCAACGAAATATCCTCCTTCCGTGTGGGTGCAGCTGAACCATGCTTCAATCCATCATAAAAATTGCATGGTCATATTCGCAGCTCATTCTTGTAAAAGCAGCTAGTTAATGTTTAGTCAAGAATGTGTCATGCGAGTATATTTTCGAGACTATTAGTATTACTTGAATAAACACTTAGTCTGCCTAGAAGTGATAGTTGTGTATTCCCAAACAATGAAATAAATTGGCTTCACGACTTCAGTAAATTCCACATATCCCTGCTAAGCTAAGAGCCTATCCAATTAAGGTTTGACTGCAGCTTCGGCCTCGTTTCATCGTCCTTCATCAGCATCTCTATCGGGATTCGATACCAGATCGTGAGTATCGTGGCGAATACGCACTTACGGGTGCAAGGCAGATGCGACATTCATAACAAGTCAGCCCTCTCATATATCGCATTTTAAGGCAGGATTGTGTTTGCCAGTGCAACCTTCGTTGTTACTTATATTCGATTTAAACAGTTCGCAAGCCTATCCGTCATGAAATCACCTTAAAAGACTAAGATTAACTTATTTCTTATTCAAGAAATACCGATGGTCTTAACAACTACTTACAGAAAAATTAAGTTGTGTCGTTAATTTCAATAGCAAACACGTGTTTGCTTTATCGCTAATCCCACTTTAATTAAGATTTATGTGAGGCTTGAATTGTCTTGCGTATAACAGCATACTCTCTAGGCTACTGGTACCCGCGGTCGTGGAGTGGGAATATCGCCATGATACTCATTATCCAACAATAAATTCCGACGAGGTCGAAACTGCAGTTCATTCCAACCTGGACAAAGTTGTTTTTTGGAGGAAAGGCTATGGGAAATTCAATTCCTCCTTGATACCTATTCATCTCATTGTGCGTTACAATTCAAATAGCAATTTTGAAATAATCTTAAGCATCCTAGGGTGACTAAGTTCCTATTCAAGTATAAGAGTCTTGGCATGGTAATAATAATAATATCAATATTGATAATAATAATATAATAGTAGTCTATAGCCTCGACAACTTATCACGTCTAAAATATTTACGTGAACACTTCAATCCTTATTTAATAGTCATCTTTGATTTGAGCTTCCTTTCTTTCTATCTCTCTCCCTCTTCTCATCTGTTTTTACGTCAATTAAGTTTACTCGCAAGCTCTAATTCAATCTATCCTGGATAAAATAGTCTTTGGCAAGCAAACCTTATTTAAATTTGTTGGCTTTCGGTTGTGGAAGAAACTTAAGAATCAATCCTAGGGCACTATAAGCCACTAAGGGTGACTATATCATTATTCTTGAATAGGAATTTCAGCTGATTTCAAAACTCAAAGTTGAGTATTTTTACACAATCCGATGAA